GAATGATAAACACGAGTTATAAATATGACCATTCCAGAGTGTTTTGTTTGAAATTAAGTCAGCTGGGTATAGTTTGGCTTCCCATGACCCTTTGCAGCCTTGTATGTAGCATGGAGGCTGTACTATATATGATAAGATGCTCTCTCCCCATTGACCTCTCGTCAGTCATGCTTTACAGTGTAGTGTGGTTGGCAATGATCCCTGCTTTTACTCTGCAAATGAAACCAGTGGAGCGTGGTGTGGCGTTTCAGCCTCGTCCACCAGTACCACAGCAGCAGACAGGAGCGCTATCGTGATCTCGGCTACATGCCCACTGCTCTAACAGGTTTACCCTGGCTTCCATTAATCACCGCAGATCTAACAAATGAACGGACTGAGTGTGTTTGACTGAGCATGTACGTGTATGCAAATCAGTGCTACAATAGAGAGGTTTGCACTGCACAAGACCCAGTATATTTAGTGATTTAAACACAATGCACTAACTGGTAGGGTGACCACATGTCCCTCTTGTAGTTGCACTGCATAGACATTTAAGCCCCTGTCCCTCGTCCCACACAGTTTGATTAAGAATTGTAAAAAAACTAAATGGATTAAAAAAAAAAATAACATCCTTTGGTTACAGTTACAGTTATTATTTATTGGTGGGTTTTTGGTGGCATCACAACATTCTATAGGCCAGTAATATTTCATTCAGATTGGAGCAGCTAAAATTAGTATCATTTAATTGTAGATTTGTTGTAGTATAGTAAGTTCTATAGTCTAGTCAAATGATCAGGTTTAGCATTTGTGGGTTTACCTTTTGGATATTTCATGGAAAATTACAATGTAATCAGTAGAAAAAAAACTGGCTTTTGCCCCTATCTGGGAGTAGGACATCATCACATTCTAGAATCTGAAAACCATCAATAGGCCAGTAATATTTAATGCAGATGGAAGTCATCTAAAATGAACATAATTCATTGTTCAAGTTAATTGGTGTAATCACGAATTGAACTCATCATATTAAACATTTGTGAATTTACCTGTCAGATATTTCATGGCAAAATGCATTCTATAGGGAAATATGGCATTTGCCCCAGCTGAGAGAATGACATAATCACATTCTATAAACTAAAATTCACCAATGAGATTACATTTCCTCCCTCGATGTCCAAACACATTTAACAGCTCATCTCTCTTTTTCTGCAATTTGAAGTGGTCACTCCATGACCAACAATGTTATTTGGGAGGAAAACTCCATCTGCTGAAAGGACCAAATCAATGTAATTACAAGAAAGACTAAAAGAAATCCATTGGAATGATATTGATTCAAACTTAAGATGGAAGAGAGGAAGATGGCATCGGTGCTGCTGTGGTGCTGATTGGAGACTGAGTGGAGGGTGGAGGACAAATTCCATAGTGATGAGGTTTTCACTGGTGACACAGTGATGGGGTGAAATGAGGTTATATCTCTGGCACTGAGAGGAACAACAGGAAAGGAGAAGTCAGAACAAAGATTAATTCATTTCAGTGTATTCTTGTATAGCACAAAATTGCAACAGCAGTCGTTTGTTGTTGTTAAACATAAAATAGTGAAAAATTCAACTATGAACTGACTGACCAACATTAATTAACTGGTCAGAGCCTACAAAACAAAAAAAAACAAAAAAAAAAAACAACAACAGCTAATTAAGTTAATTTTATTATATTTTTCAATATATTTATATATTTTACAATCAACTACAGGAAGTGTTTCAGATAAACTCAAAGTGTTGCTCTTTACTAGATGATCCCACAATGAAGACACTATATTGTCATCGACTTGATCCATCAACCCAAGTAACAGGTAAAGGTCTTTTACTGCATGTCCAACTGAATGCCTTGGACCTTTTTAAATGCTTTTTACACCTTTCTCGCAGCACCTTTTTATATTATAAGCATTGTAACTTTTACTGTTTGATAATCAATCATATTCACACTAACTCCACAGTGTAGCTTTCTGATTGCATAAATCTAGTTTCACCATCCACCTGAAACATCTAAATGTGCTTCACTCTTGCATAAACCTCTTCCTGATTGTTCCAGCACAGTGACTATGAGGAGACACAGTCAACATTTCTGACAGTGTAGCCGATTCTCTTTCATGTACTAGACAGGGATTACATCAGCCCTAATGAGGAAGAAGAAAGACTCCGTGTTTTTGTACTTGATGGTGAGAACAGAGTAGTACAAGGCGGTGTCACTATAGGTCCACCGATTTCTGGTGGCTATTGGCATTTTCTCCTCTTTGGTGACCTACTTTTGTTCAAGATCAATCGAGCAAAATGAAGGGTTTGATACGACTAATTCTCATGGTCTTGACTGTTGATGACATTTGGGCTGAACTAACCCCTGTGGAATGAGGCTTTCACACAAGGAGCATATCCACGACCATCTCAGCCCACCGGGAGCGGCCTGCCATTTTTAATGCTTCAGCTTAATTATGTAGATAACAAGACATGTCAGAGCAAAACAGATCTGGTGGAAAAATGCTCCGTCTTTATTGGAGGGGCTCAGATAAAGAATGTTGTTCAGCAAAATAACAGATGTGCTGCCCCAAAGAATTGGATGAGATTCAACTTTTTTCTCCACAGTATAGTACATCATTCTGTTTTATGTCCCTTTGGCCAAATACACTCAACTAATGGATAATTTACTACAAGCCTGCAGTGTAGATTGGTGTAATGTGAAAAAGAATCTGAAGGTTCTTTATTGCAAACACTGTACTAGAAGTACAACTATAATAAAATATTAAAAACTGTCAAATATCAAGTGCTTTCTGTTGAACTTCTGCTGTAGGTCTCTGCAGTGACAGTGTTATAACTTTGTACCAATTAATATTGGAAGAAGAAGAGCCTGTCTCTACCCCTCTCACAAATTCTTTGCCAAGTGCCTTAAGTGTTGAAATGTGGAAATGTGTGTGCATCATCATTTATAAATAGAGCTTCTCCATATAGACTCTCTCTTGAACACCATACACAAGGTAAGTATTTAATTGCCAAAGGACACTTTGACAACTGGTCTGGAGGAGTAGGAGTACAACTGCCAATATTTAGCATTGGACTGTAGGAAGCCCTGCTTTAATCTACACCAATTAAAATGTGCCCTTATGAAAACCCTGAGATATTTTTATCGTAATCCGAAAAGATGGCCTATGCAAAACGATGTACATGCTTTACATTAGCCCTAGCAGTTCGGCTTATCAGAGTACACAGCAGTCTAGCCAAACACCCTCAGAAATGAGTGCACGGTGGGAAGATGCTGCTCTAATGTACTGACCCTTAGAGAAGAAGTCATCTTGTAGGACTCCCTCAGACAGAAGAAAAGGCTAATTCAGTTAAATTCCCACACAGTTTTGGTCCAAAGTCATCAGCCCTATTTCCCTTTATGCGTCAAGAGCCGGTCACACAGTATGTGAGGGAAACGCTGTCTTATCTTCTGAAAGGCCACAATAGGTTTTTCTTAGAAAATGATCTTTATCACAGAGCTTTCATTGGGTTTGCTCTCTCAAACTCTTAGAACTCATTGTGCACATCCTGAAAGTGGGAATGCAGCGATTTTAAACCTTTCCTTCGGATAAGGAAATTAATCTTGAGAATGACTTAAAAAGAAGCAAAATGTTATTTAATCATAATGGAGTCAGAACTGACACATTTTGGTGTGCACCAAATCAATCCTGTGAACAACTTTGTAGATCCTGTGCACACACAGAAGCTCTCATCCATCTACAGCGACATTAGTTTAGTCAGTAAAACAGGGAATGTATATTTTATTTATTTGAATAACGTTTTGATTAATATTGACTAAACATACATTCATGCTTGTCCAAGCCCAACTTTTTAAGAACATTTGCATCACTGAGAGGTTTCTGCATTAGATTCCTTGATGAAAGAGAAACTCTATAGCTCAACTGGAAGAGTGCTTGTCCTCTGATCTGAAGGTTGTGGTTAGATTCTCTTTCCTGGTATAAACATTGTTGATAAAGTGGTCAGATTTATAGGCTGGTGGTACTTGGTCCAAACACTTGACCTCCCTAGTGTCTGCATTCCATGGTGAGTATAGCTGAGTGAGAAAAATGGTGTTTAAAAATCACAAGAGACATTTTTGTGCATGCTTTTTACACTTTCCATTAGCTCTTTGTTATAAGAGTTTATTTCAAATGAATGAGTGGTCTGTAGCTTTGTTTTATATATATGATTCATGTCAATCCGCCAAAAATCAATAATGTCCAAAACTGTCAAGTTGTGCCTGCTGAAACTATAGTTTCAATTGTTGAAATGTTAACTTCTGAAAACCTGTCACATCTCAAACTTTTAAAACATCTTTTTTTTTTTTTACCACACATCAATCACTGTGAACAAATATGTTCAACTTTTAAGTGTCACTTTTCTGGGGGTTTTGACCACTCAATCCAGTATCAAACACATGTGCTAGTCTCTGACAGCTTACTGGAGACAAACTGCAGCCTGATCAAGCTTCCTTAGTGGAGGTGACACAGAGAGAAGTCCGGAGGCTAGTGCTGTGTTCCCATAAGACAACAGCCGTGTGCCTCATACCTCATCTGTGCAGCCAAACAGATCACTATGTTAGTTTTACACAATTTTCTGCAAGTTTTATCTTTCAGTTATTTATCCGTCACTATAGACCAGACTTAGTTGACGGTTAGAGATACAGGCCTAGTGCTGGCAGTTGTTTTAACTGTACAATAGCAATATATGCATTGAATATTGCAGTAAGATAATGTTACATTCATCTTTTTCTTTTAATGAGTAATAAGTAAGTGTTATATGGCAGTATACTCCTTGTGCCACTCCAAGTCTGAATGAATAGTGGAGGAATTTGCTCAGAAGTATAGAATAGCAATGAATATTGTCACAACACTTTTTTTTTTTTTTAAAGGAAGACATAATTCTCAATCATCAGTGATGTTTTGAACAAATGGGCTTTAAACTTTCTCCTTTACGATTATTTTTTTGTTACAGGATGGGTGGACAGAAGCTGTGGACATTGCTGGTAGCTATGGCGCTGCTGGTGGTAACAGTCATGGCGGCTGAAGGCGGCAAAGCTGAAAAAACTGGTGATTAAACAATCATCAACCACATCAACTTTGTATAGGCCCTGACTCTTGTTGTAAATAGGAGCACTTGTCTGTAACTTACACAAGCTATTGAACAACAGCCAAAAAAAGATTGATTCACTTTACAAAAAGAAAGTTCTCCCTCTCAGTAATTACATTATGAGGTACCACAACTTCTTGGCAAGACTGCACTGATTGAAATGTTTTGTTAAAAAGAGTTTGATTCAACTTTAGTTTGCAACAAATGGAAGCCCCAAGGGTAAAAGTGTCTCTTAAGAATACAATAAATACAAAGACATTTTGCAAAAGATACTAATTGACTTCTCTTCTGGGGGAAAAACAAAACACAACAAAAAAAAAAAAAAACATATTTGAGTTAAGGGAGAACAAGTATAACATTAGAACAAACAATTACACTCAGCCTGGAGGTTCATTAATAGATCCACATGGGAGACTTGGAAAACTAATTTAGACTTTATGTTATTGCACCTAGAGAAAAATGCAACTAAATGTAACTTAAAAAAGAAAACACAAGTAACAAGTCATTCTTGCGTATAGATTTAACATGTATCTCCTCTCAAAACCAGGGCTAATAAAGCAATCAATCCCAATCAGTCAATCACATGCATTTGGACAGCCAAGTATTTCTTATTGACAGGGAAGAAGGAGCGCAGGTCTGACTGCGGGGAGTGGCAATGGAGCGTGTGTGTGGCCAATGTGGGTGATTGTGGACTGGGCACCAGAGAGGGCACCCGCACTGGCACTGACTGCAAGCAGACCATCAAGACCCAGCGCTGCAAGATCCCATGCAACTGGAAGAAGAAGTTTGGAGGTAAACTTCAAACCAAAAAATAGAACAACTTTTTTGAATCATGTCTCTCATGAATGATATCACAGCAGGTAATACACCGTCAAGCTGAGTTAATTATAAAATAATTAACATTTCTGGGAAAGAAAAGGAATACTCATTTTGTACCATTGTCTGTTCAGGTTTGAGACTGCAGTCTTGAATGCTGAACTGTCTCTCAGTGACAGGCCTGGGGGACTTTTGTTTTCCCACTAAAGGCTTTCAGGCAGCGGCATGCTGCTCGCCAATGAGCCTGTCAGGAGTGATGAACACACTGCGGCAAATAATGGGCCCACTAACTGCTTATATAGATTACAGCACAAAAAGTTTTGGGCAAGTGGCTACCGTACAAGCCTCGGGCCTTTTCAGTTAAGAATAAAAAAGTTGTCATCTGTCAGGAGCGGGAAAAGCCCACATCACAGTATTGTTTAAATGTGTACTTCATAACAAAAGAGGTAAACAGTGCTTTAGAGAGAGTGAGAGAGACAGGAGAACCAAGGGCAGGATTGGCTGTGGCTGGAGAGGGCAGACTGGCATTCTTATTTCCATTCATCAAGCACGGGGCAGCTACGAACAGTCACAAAAGTAGCTTAATATCACAAAGTGTGCGAAGTGAATGAATAACGCAGTGTGAAGCGCTATTTAAATCAGTGGAATTATGATAATTATTAGGTTATGTCTGTCTAAGTGGGTTTCAGGATGTGCGATGGGCCTGGTGTAAATAACCATTTGTTTGTCCGGTTTAATATGATGCTTGAGAAAGGCCTTATTCCCTAGAGTATGAAAGGAAATGTTTTTTTCAGGACAAATTATAGGTATGAAGGTGCAGAATTTTGAAAATTGGATGCTCATGCAGTCCCTGTAGTGCAGTAGCTGATGTGTCCACTGTGCAATGCTTGTCTTTTCACCGGTCTCGTCACCTTGCCCTGTTTTCATTAGTGTCCTGGGAGTGTAAGACAATGTGACACAGTGGAGAAATGAGGAAGAGGTGTGACTACATGGACAATATAATAACAAAGTATTCCCTTATGAAGCAACATATAAGTCCCAGATACAAGGTATAAAGACTCAGAGAATTGTATAATTTAAACTAGGGATGCGACAAGATCTTGTTACACAGGATCTCATGAGACAAAATTGCCACAAGAGAGTGCGCACATTTTTTCCCCATGTTTTTATTTTGCATTGGACAAAAAAAGAGGTTACGTTCCATGGAGTTACATTTCTTGAGCTGTAGTTCCAAAAAGCAATGCTAAAATATAAAATAAAGTAAATGAAAAATGAGCAAATGCTAAATAACACACTGCTCTGTTAAAAAGAACCTTTATTTGGAAATAATACTGGACCAAAATGAACCTCTTTGAAGAAAAATGGTGTGGCCAAAATTGTGAACAGTATTTATTATTTATTTATTTTAATTCATGCCAAATCCAAATGTATTTCTTTTGTCTCATTCTCGTAGACCCAATCTTATGTCTTGTCTCTTGTTTTAGGCAAACTGTAATTCGTCCTACCCCTAATTTTAACTATATTCCAATAGAGACAAGCAAACCCTGATTGCATCTAATAACAAATGCATCATGTGTTATCGAAGTTTGTTCCAATAGCTTTTGCCATGCCTTTTCGTGTTTAAAGTTTCACATTTTTGTAAACAAAGCAAACTATCCATAAATCTGTATTTCCTTTGGCCAAATGGATATTTGTAATCTGTGGAGATTAGTTTTGTTGTCTCGGTTTGATTTAACTGAACTTGCAAATGAGCAACTGCCCCTAATTAGCTCTCTTGTTTTGGCTAATGGCAAATGCAATACAAACATAAAATGCTGATATAATTTGATAAATGAACTAGTTGCCTTTGCTGGGGACTGCAAGAGGCTTTGTTTTTGGAGCCATATTCAATTCGCATCCCTCTGAGGTCAAATTTAGTCTTTTTTTTTTAGGTATTGCTGAAGATTTTGTTGTCAAGATTTCTGGATGATCAGACAAGTTTATGTTGCTTTGTCACCTGGAAAGGGCTGTATAAGGTGAAGTTTTAAATGTAAGGCCATTTGCACCAAAACCATTAAAGTTGTTTAATTTTTGCTTTGAACATTAAGTTGTATTGAGGAAATTTTGATGAGCAGCAGGTAATAGCCAAATAAATGAAAAAAAAAAAAAAAAAAAACTCATCATGGCTATTCAAAGTATATGACTCACACCTCCTCAGACTCTAGGGGCTTATTTTATTGAATGATTGCAATTGGTACCCTTAAAAAGACAAATATAGACACCGAGAGGTGTAATTTCACTAGACATTTCTGCATCGGCGTCTTCACCATGATGGCTGCTTAGTACTACTCCAGTGCACAAAAGCATCTAATAAAGTATCTGATTGTTTTGTCTGCTCAACAGGAGAATGCAAGTATGAGTTCGACGCGTGGGGGGAGTGTGATCTGGCAACGGGGAAGAAGAACAGAACAGGGGTGCTCAAGAGGGCGCTCATGGATGCAACCTGCGCTTCCACAGTTACAGCCACCAAGCCTTGTGGGAAAATCCCCAAGACCAAGCTGCAAGGTAAGCCGAAGGGGATTAATCATATAGAGATCGACATGTTAGGCCTGTCAGCAATGTATACGCCAATGTCTAACTGATGGATTACTCTGTCTCGGAAAATACACACAATCTTTGATCACCAACACAGTTATGACATTTTACTGTTTTAGAAACAGAAACAGAGTCAAAATGTAATTAAAGATATGTCAGAAAGAAAGTTCAGCAAAAATATCAGTCAAATGGGAATGTATTTGAATGACAATTTGCGTTACACAAGGAAATGCTTTTGTGTGGTTGGGGCATTCTCTTGATATAAGACAAGAGTTGGTTGTCCAGTTGAAACTTGACCACATAACTTTGGGATTGTTTTGCAAAAGTTTTCCCAAATTCAAGGCTCCTCGAATGTTTTCCAATTTCACAGCTGGTGGAGATGAGTTGCCTGACCAGCCAGTCCCTTCTACATTCTGTTCGAATCCAGAAGGGACTGGAATCTGAACATAGAGCATGAAAAACCTCCGTCCAAAATTGAGACAATCCAACCACAGCTGCTAATTTGTAGCAAGCATCCGTCAAAAGCAGAAGACATCATTCAAAACTTCTCGTAACATTCAGAACAAAATATATAACTTCTTTTACCTGAAATAACTAATAGTTTGGTGCTTAGTTGATTTTTCTTTTTTATGTGTAAGCAGCCAAGTTAGTTTTTTTTTTTTTTTTTGCAAACGGAGCATGTGTCTCTCTAACTGGCTAATCCTCCTGTCACTCAATTTTTTTGGTTCCTGACGAGTGACCTCTGCTCTGGTAAAATTGACCAATAACTAGACCTGTCATGATAAATACTATATCAACTTATTGTTCAGTATATGAATGTTGGAACATAACATAACTTATATGGCTAATTATTGGTTTATTCAGCTTTTTTATTTGTTGTCTTTTAATTAAACTGTCTATTTAAAAATAAGTTTACTGGGACTCTCCTGCTTTGTATCAGTGGCATAATAGTTTCAGTATTATTGTTTATTGCAATATTTCTCTGTAGCAGTATATCATGCTTCAAAGTTTGTTTTTGTGACAGGCCAATAACTAAAGACAAATGAAGAAAACAACAGACTGGACACATTACAGTTAGAATTGACAAATCATTGTGAATGTCTTTTTTCTAATATTATTACTATGACACCTATGAACTTTCTATCTTGTGCTGTGTATTTTCAAACAAACAATTATAAATGAGGCAGAGCAGCAGTGATTCTCATTTAGATTAGGCCACCCTCAATCCAATCGAATCCACCTGTTAAAGATAGGTGAGCCTGTTACTAACAGTGACGAGGTAAAGGTGAAGAGGTTAAATCACTATTTAGAGATAATTACACGTCTTTAATCATCAATTACCTAAATAATCAAAAAGCTTTCCATTTGCTCTTAACACAACCTAAAAACAGAAAGAATCGAAATAGTGGTATTTGCTGAGAGGTTTAAATAGACAAAATGACGAAGGAGCACTCTGCTCATGTCAAGTGAGTCATTGACCTTTGAAAATTTGATAAAGGCTATTGACCCGCTGTGAATTTTGCACTGTTCAAATAGGATTATGAGTGCGTACGGCTGCCAATGATCACACAAGTGCTCTTATCCAGCTCCACAGATGACATGTGTGCAAACCATATTCCGATATAGAGTTTGCCTAACTTCACTGTGGCCAAAGCAAACACACAGGAGCAGGTGAGGACCCAATGATGCGATAAGACAATGAGATGTCTGCGGTAACAGGATGTGAGCTGGATAGTCCCAGCTCTAACGCTTCTGTCAGGACCAATATTTGTCTTCAGATTTTAGCTCAACTCTATCTGACGGATAAGGGACAACATTGTTTATTTTGACGTGTCACCCTTAAGTAATGCAGCAGGGGAGTGTTTAGGAACTGTGTTCAACCACCTGAGATATTTTCTTACCAAATACTGTGCTTTAAGGGTTAGATTTATTTACATGTCTTTATCTATTTGTTTATTTAGCATATACAGTTGTATTATTCATACTAATACTACTAAATACAACATGTAAAACTATTGCACAGTGTACTATTTTATGACTGAAATTGAGTTGAAACAGAATAATTAGATGTGTGAAATAAAAACTCTTAATACAATTTTTTCTCAAAGGTTCAGAATCATGTATGAGCAACACTATGGCTAATATTAGCTGAAAGATAGTGGCCAGATCTATTCTCTGTTTTTAGATTAAAGGTACACTACATAACATTTATAGTGGAGAGTCCACCACTTGCTTATCTCCATGGAAATATTTTTGCTTTGTCTAAAATGTTCCACAGTATAGATTGAACCTATCTATCACGAACGGTAACAAGCAGGTTACAGCACTACCCTACATTACAATTCAGATCTGTGGATAGTCGCCCTCATTCACAGAAAGAACTATTGTATTTTTGAGCAATAGAAACACCTGTAATGAATAAATGCTAGATCAATTTGTTTAATGTCATACTATGGAACATTTCAGGCAAAGCAATAACATCTCCATGGAGCCAAGTAGGTAACAGAAAAGTTGTGCAGTGCACCTTTTACAAAATGAATACAAGAGATAAACCAATTCAAGCATTAATTTAACTTATTTTACTTCTATATCTTAGAATGCACAGTATAGTTTCTGCATTCTGACACAAATATATTTCCATTATCATTCCATTATCTTTATTGTTGGCTTTACAGAGCAGTAGTGCATAATCATATGGTACACAAAAGAAGCGCTTGGTCACTCGTGCATATACCTGTGTTGCATCTATTCTAATGAAGGCCAGCAGCATGGATATGGAGTGACACCCTGAGAGGCGAGAGTGCTGGGGGCAGAGGGGAGCTGAGTGGGGCAGGGGGAAGCTAAGGGGAGCTGAGCGAGCATGACAGTGGCATAGATGAAGCCAGGCAGCCAGGGAAAGAGAGCATCGCTATCACAGCTAGGTGCTATTTCCCACGTCTGCCAGTTGGAAGATAAGCCCTGGAAAGCACGGGGGTTACTGGGAAAACCAAACACGGGGTGGTGTGTACGCGCATTGTGCACGGGGAGGCAAAATTGTCTTTTGAGTATATGGCAGAGGTACAGTCCATGGCAGATCACAGGGCTTCTATAAAATATACAGAAAGAAGTGTTGGCAATATAGAGAGCGAGATGGGAGATGCGAGGTGATCTAACCCCCAGGCAGCAGGCAGCGAGGATCGGCAACCTAATCTGCAATTCTGAATACCTAGATAGGATTTTCCCCCGGACAGTGTGGTGGGCTGCGCTGGTGGAGCTAGCATCTGTCATTTGTAGATTCAGGAGAGGAGACAATGCTAAGAGGTGTCCGGAGAGAGTGACTGAAGACTGGAGAATTGCATGTCTTGGCTGTCTAAGACCACGTTATACCCAGGCCCTGTGGAGCAAGAGAGTGACAGAAATGAAACATAATAAATTCAGTAGAAACCTCCAAGTCCCCACTTCCTCTGGCCACAGATCAACTTCACTGGGTCCTCATGACATTCCAGCTTTATCTCAGGCTAAAGAAGGTTGATTTTTGACCATCAGAAGCGTGCAATCAGGTCGCATATGCTTCTCTCTCTTTCTGGTAAATGAGAGAAGGGTGATTTACTGTATATCTTATTGGCCAGGGCAACAGTTGTAATTAAATGTAAGGCTTTATGGAAGTCTTTTATGAAGCAATCATCTTTTACAGTGCAGTCAAAGTTTAGCAGTGGATACAGATAATGATGACACCTCCTTCAAGTTTATAGTTTGAGTAATGTATGACTTCTATGATGAGTGGAAGTTAATGGTGAGTTTTTATGCTTTAGATATATGGACAGAGATGCTGGTGGTAAAGACTAATTAAGGGAGAAATAAAGAAAAGTTAATGGACTGTATTTTGTCCACATTTATCAGGGTAATGAAGTGGATATTGTATCTACCAAGTTGCAGTTGCTAGTTTACTGAGAATCTTCACTCAACCTGCCACCTTCTCTACAGTTGTTTCAGTTCACTCATAGAAATGTTTAATGTAATACAGTGGAACTTTCCAGGTGAATCAGTAACATCTAAGCAAGTGGTGTGCCCTTTAGAATTCAGAATAAAACAGAATAGAAAGAAATCTGGGATGGCTCTCGCTGAAAGCAATTGGAAAACGCGGAATGTCATGAGCTTCACAACAGTGGAACAAGCTGAAAAATCTAGCTTTTGTAACATCCAGTTGAGAGAAAAGCGTGGTCATCTTCCCTGTCCACAAAAGCACAAAGTTCTTACCTTCTTCACATTTTTCACAAACAAAATAGTCTATATTGACGCTAAAATAGCCTGAAGTACATCTGTCAGCATCACCAGGTTTGCTTTGATTTGTTTGGTGGCTTTGCCTTTGGCTTCCACACAAACCTCAGTGTTGCTCTGTGACTGGTGCACGATCCACCTGACAGGCCCTATCGCACCAGTGGGGGCATGCCAAGATGGATTCTCCTAAGTTTGTGAACTCACGAATATCGCGAGAATCCATCTTGGTGCGCAAGGTTAAATACGATCCTAGCATCCTAATAATTCACAAAGTTTAGAAGTGCTTTTCACAACTTTCAGAGGCCAGAGCTGAGTAGTCCTCTTTATAATGTAGATTTTACCACATGCTTGTAGTATAATTTTTGTATTGATGTTTTTTTCTGAGCTTGCTACATTGTACATTTCAGTCATGATGGAGAAACCACTGTGTGCCATGTTTTGTCCTATTGTAGCTGAAAGTACAACAGAGCTGCCCTAATCTCACATATGGGACACGGCTGAAACACACTGTATCTTCTTTGGCCTGGTGAGAGGAATCTGCTGACAATAACAAAAGACCAAAAGACCAAGACGACTGACTCAAATGAATACAAGCAAACAAATGGGATGGAAGAGCAGTCTGGGAGATTTGCATGGACGGGAGAACTCGGCATGTCAAAAAATCTGAGCGCTCCGGAAGTGTGAGCTGCCGAGGTGACAACAAGAACTGATTTAGAAGAGATTTCCATCCTTTGCATTCAGAATATTAAAAGGATTGGACTCAATTGAAATCTCATTCGCTAAGCATACCTTGTTTCGGCTCTGAACTCCCCAGCAGCATGTCATTAAAGGATTTGTGAGTTGTGGACGTGTCTTTTTAAGATAATCCGTCTACACTATAAGTCATTCTGGCTTTTCACACATTATAAGTCAATGCCTTTATATATACTGAGGTTGCAGTGGGCTTGAAATCTTTTGACATTGCTTTGTAGATTTATTTTTGGTTTGTTTTTTATCAGTTTTCTTCACACAGGTTGGGCTTAGTCATCAGAGAGAGGGAGATTGTGGGAATATAACATTTGATGTGAAAGATGAAAGACATGGACAAAGGAAAGTCCAAGTGGCTTCTTGAAAGATACACAAACTTAAAATAAGGCTGCACTGCACTAGAAAATATGTTCTACCTCAGTGGTTTATCTCTTTCTGCAAAAATGTCAACTTTATAAGTGCTACATCTAAATCTTTATAAGTTCTACTAAATCTTTTGAGTCTTTAGTTATGCTACTTTACATGGCACTTTGGTTTCATTCATAAGTTTTTAAATAATTATTATAATTCTAAATAATTATTTAAATAGGTAGTAACCCAAGAAGTGGCCCTCCATGTCAGTACCCCTTCATCAGTACCCCTTATTCTGAAGATCTCAGTTTTCACACTGTATCTCAACTTAAAAGTTTTTTTGTTTTTTTTAAGCTCCATTTGAACTACGTGTTTTACTCGTGTTTTCATTGTATTTGAATATGACATGTTTGTGTCATCAGAGCACATTTGTATTCTGTCATATTTGAACTGTAGATGTTACAGATGTGTTTCACACAAATCAGTTATGGCAAATGGTCACATTTTTATATAGCACTTTTCCACTTTCAAACCACTCACCAACTCACACACACATTTATACACCAGTGTACACAGACACTGGGGGCGAGGAGTGTCTTGCCCAAGTATACAACACAACAGCATTCATCTGTGGTAGGTGTAATCACACCGCCAACCTGTGGGTCAGTGGATCTGACCACTCTATCAAAGATGTTTCTTATGTTGAGAGCAGGATTCGAACTACGCTTTACCAACTGAGCTACTGCTGAGCTATATTTTTTTCCCCCGTGCACTTGGGGGCTGCTTTGCTCTCAGGGGCGAATCAGTTGTTCTTAAAAACATTTATTTTAAGTTATAAAAGGTGAAATTCCAATATGTGTAATGTCTGGCACTTTCACTGGGGACACAGCTGCCTTTACTGTCAGATTTGGTGGCACAACAATTGGATCTGAGACTGACTGTCCATCTTTGTAAAGTGTTATTGTCTGGGAAGTCGATTACCATAATGTTATTGCAGTGGATGCAATTGGGGGTGTGGATATTGCTATTGTTGATTCTGTGGTAACAATAAATGTGTTATGTATTGTCTAGCTATCATCACACAGGTATTGCTTTGCAAGTGATATAAACAATGGTATTAATGCTAAATGAGAGCTGGAACAAGACAGTTTAAAATATAATATATCAAAATATGTAACCCGACGCTGGCAACTCCCCAAACAATATATCTGATCCATCTCTCTACATCCACAATGCACACTCCTGGCTTCTACTATTATCTCTTAACTTTAGTGTTGGATTGTACCACATGTGACAGAACATAGTTAGTCAGGTTAGAGATATGATTTGATGTGAAACATTTGACATTTTGTTTTGCTTTACAGATGCCAAGAAGCAAAAGAAGGAGGGAAAGAAGCGAGACCGTGCTCAAATGGATTAACGCCTCTGATAAGCCCTGTTAAACATGTTCAACTCATCTTTGTATATTCTGTAGTGACTGTAGAATTTTATAGTCATTTGTCAGTAGTGTGTGTATATTCAGAAAGCAGCTCTTTTGTTATGTAGATATATAATCCTTAATACCAATAGTGTGCACATGAGAGAACATGAACCACTGATAATTGTGCTTCTTTCCCTTTCTTAAGAGACTGGTATTACCACTGCCTGACTTTAAGTCCACAAATTCTTTGTTCTATAGCACAACTTAATTAAGCAGTTTGTTCAAACTGAAAAAACTCTCACTGCTTACATTTTATATGTAAACACATAATAATGAATTATTTTATGTGGAGTTTAATAATTTGTCTGCATGGAATAACTTGTCTTAAATAATTGCTGCCTCTGCATTTTTGTACCTCAGTTTATTTGTACTGACCCAGTCCTCACACTCGGGTGTAAAATATTAAGATCTGTTTTCACTGTGGCCCTCATCATTACCTGTTGTTCCTGATACCTATTAAATCTAATAAAATGGTATAGACAGAGCCTTGTCATTCTTGTTTTAATAGTACACACATCTTATTTCAAACACACTTGATATATTTTATTGGAGATATTATGGCACATGTAACCACTTGATGCAGCTCCTTTATGATGCTGTAGGTGTAGTGGTGATATTAACACTCAGGTTTATTGTCCAGAACAGATAATCAATCAATGCCTCGTAAGGGAAATCAATATCATAATTTCTGTACAGAAGTTAGTGGAGTGAGGGAGCAGGATCATTGGGGGAAATCAGGGAGCACATTCATATAGCTATCTAACACATGTATGTACAAAGGGCTTGCATCTCCATTACATATAAGTTATCTCATATAGATATATACAATGCAAACAAAATAGTTATTTTAAATTCATTTTGCTATTGCCAGAGAAGCCACAATAAGCCACAGTAAGTGAATACAACATAGACATCTACATACAGCAAAGCAAATTAAATATCTCTTGTCAGTATGTACATCACCGACAGCAAACTGCCGATTCAGTCTGCTTCATGTATGAACAATCTCATTTAACTCAAATTAATAGTCAATTAGGTTTAGTTATGTTTTAAATGTTATATGATACTAATAAGTGCCCATTTAGGTCATCTAACTTCTGTCTATGGCAAAACTCAGATGTTTCAGATGAGATGAAGCAAAAACAGAGCCTTTATGTTTGAAAAATGCTCATTTGTCTTTTGTGTTAAACACTACCTCCTCAAACCTTTTTGATGTCTAAAATTCAGATAAAGTTTAACCCATCTGTATGTACATGGCACATATTTTGTAACATTACATTTATAACTGTACAGTGATAAATCAAACACATTTTATAAAAGGTGATATAAACAGTGTCTTTATTTTGTCCATGTAAGTCTTTGGAAGCCTGTTACTAAAACTGTTAAAGGAGTGGTGATAGACTATCCACATGATGGTGTCATCCCTGATGTACGCCATGTTAGTCTAATGCTATGTCATGCTCAGACGTCATCTAAGAGCAGACAGCACACACACACGCACATGCGCACACACACACACTCACGCATATGCATACGCACACCACACACATACACACATACACACATGCACAGGTGACCTCCATAATGTTACTCAATGCATTTACACATGGAATTAAATAAGATGGAAATAAGGTCAAATGATTCTCTAATTCCATATATGTCCAAAAATCTGTCACTGCAGACATTTTTGTTCTATTTTTGTGTTGAATAAAAGAAAATTATTGTTCAATGTACAACATTTTATTGCCTTCAAAATCAGTTGAGGAATGTGAAATGAAAGCTACAGGCAGGGGAGCTCAGAGCTGAACACACGTGTAGACACGCACACACCACACGTGCACACACATCCACACACACGCACGCACACCATACAGTCACACAGAAAGAAAGGCAGAATGACAAGCTTCTTAATAGACCTCACAATGTAACAGGAAGTGCACCTCTCATCCCACACAACAGGGATCCAACATAAAAGAGCCATTTGTTTATGTCACCCTGAGTAAGGCACTTGAATGTCTTTGTACAATCCGGCGATATAGTTCTAGTGAGAGATAAAACACTGATAGTGAGAACATTCCACTGTTTCACCTCTGTGTGACATGTTCCAACTAAACAGAAATTATTCCTGCAAAGGCTCCAGAGTGAAGCCACAAAAGTCTTAGAATGGAAGTCCTCTCTGATCAGTGTCTGTGTGTATCTTCTCCATAGAAGGAGTGAAGCCCTTTGACATTAGCCGTATGAAGACGAGCCCGTTAGCTCTGACGGCACATTATGATCTGTTGATCACAACACTGACAATGTTTACTGTGGCTGTACTACACAGATGTATATGAGAGGAGACACTGTGGGGATGAACGTGATGATGAGCAGCCTCATAAAAGTGATGGTTATTATTACATCCATATGGAGAGCAAAGGGAGGTGATGGTTTTACAGCCAGAATGAGAAGTAATAAAAGCTCACAGGGGAGGCTAAACAGTCTTAATACACCATATTTACAGCACAATGTAGCTTTCATCTGGGATCCTGATTCCAGAAGCCAAACCTTTGGCTGACCTGCTCTGAACCACAGTGACTTCTCCAAACATGGTCTACATTCACCAAGGCCCCTGTCTGTGGACTATGTCAATGGCAACTGTCCTATTTGTCTGCAGTTGTCCAACAGCAACAACATCTAAAAAGGGATTCTTATCTAGTCTGAACCCTACACTTTAAGGTGCCTCACTTACTTTGGATTGTTTTGGATTTATGCTCACAGTAGGCTCAAGACTGTGGGCATACCGGATGCATACTGCATTTCTTTCAACAGTTGCTTTTTGTTTGCTACATATTGTGAATGGTTGAGAAACACATACAAACATGTCAATGTGTGAGCTACATCTTGGCCTTTGAGAAGATAAACTTCCAGCACCTCCCATCAGCTGACACCCATGCATGTGCAGCTCTGACTGGGACCACCCCTGTACCAGCAGGCCACTTACTCCCTGCTGGTATCAGTCAGGCAGCAGCTTAGCAAAGATTAATCAGATCTGGAGGAAGGCTCTCTACCCACTACTGAGATGTGTGACAGATGTCAGACAGGCATGGCTCCACTTATCACTGTGACGGATGCTTGGATGTTCAACTTGGATGCTTGCCTCTGTTCCTGCTGAAGCTGCTGCCATAGATAAACATGGGCCAATCTGTGAGCATACTGTACTTCACTGCACATGCAAAAGTGTCCTCTATTGATAAGTTCTCCACTTTCAGAGTTGCCTAAAATAGAAATGCCATAACATTCTTGACCACTTTGAAACACAAGAATGTCCAAAGTGTGATTCATTAAGACTGAATGTAAATATTCACTTCTTACAATGAAATGGATAATGTTTGAAGTAAAGTCTATCTATGTGAGACTTAGATTCCAGACTTCATGAGGCAAAGATGGCCGCAGGTTCTGAATACTGTGGTGGAGGCTGGGCACACATAGACACTAGCACGAGATGAGCATGTAATTGGGTGTTCTTTAATCTCGAATGTAGGTGTCCCATAATCTGATCCGCTTCATGGTGAGTTTTCATTATACGATCTGTCCCACATCTGTCTTTAAGTAGACAGCCTTCAGGAGCATTATTCTGTACAAAGCAACCTCCCGCTGCCTCTCTGATACATATTCATCACTTTCAAGTATTTATTAATGAGGCTAAACCAGGGTTATGTCTGATGACAAGGGGGTGTGATCTCCCTCTGTTACTGACGTCTCACAAATCATCTCTGCAAAGAAACAGCTACATTATTATGATGTCAATGTGTGCACCTGAAGTGTGGGACATTAGAGCAAGGATTTGAAAATCACTGAACATGTATCGGTTATTTTGCAAATAGGTCAATGTATGTTGATGCAATTATTTATGATTTTTAAGTTACATTACATTTATATTACATACATGTTTGATGTGAATTGTGTTGTTTTGGGTGTTGACTGTAACAGAATTTACTTTACTTTTAATTTACTTGAACACTGAACACCAAAAACAACACAATATTTTCTTATATATTTATCATACAAATAATGAACTAGCAGGTGACAACAGAATAAAATTATCTGGATGTCCTGGAAAGTATAGCAACATCACAAATTCATATGTTTCAAACAATAAAGATAAATACTAAATTTCATCAGGCAGCATTTGTTAAAGCTGCGGTACCTGATTTTCAAACCATGAAGGAAGAAACTATAATCTATATCTGTCTGTCTGTTCCTCTCACCTCTCACCAACCCTTTGGCACATTGCTAGTATTCACATGTATGTTTTTCTTTTTTGGCCACTAGCACAACTTTTTCAGATGGAGAAGCAGATCTAATGACTATAAAAAACTTCACGATGGTGATAGAATGCAGTGGTCTGATTTTTGGCAAAGACTTATGCTTTTACAATGGGGGAAACTAAATTTACTAACTTTTAAGAAAAAAGTCAGATAATTCAGCTTTAAAGAGACAATACATAACAGTGCATAAATAGCCCTTATTTAAATCACAAGGCCATAACCTGTGATCTGAAGTTAACTCCAATCCAGGAGTGCACAGACAAACCCAGTCACTCAAATGCATTCCACACATCCATTAACGCACAAGTGCCAGGTCCACAGCAACAGTATAGAGAGGGGTATGGCTGACCACACAGCATCATCACGATCTTAGCTCTGAGCTCCCAGGCCTATGACACAATGACTGATGAGAAGTATAGTAAATTCTAAGGTACACTGGCAATGGTCTTCAAATCATGTCTTTTACAACATCATCATGACCGCTGATGAAAATACATCAAAACTCATTTGACTGTTTCAGTGAATTTGTTGATTAGACTCCATTAACACAACTGTAACTTTTTTTGTTTCATGTGCATCTTTTGTGAGACTTGGACCAAACTTTAAGGATGCTGGCAATTCTGTTGTTATCATTATGTACTTTTATATTGAGGTTTAGGATGGAGACACAAGTGTATAACTATTGTAAGTGAAGTACAATGTCGTGTTATCTTGAGTGGAGTAATACAATTTCAACATATTGTTTTGATGTATTGCTGGCAGCTAGTACTGGAGTGCTGCTGCTCTCAGTGAAAATAGTCTACATGTTGCTGGTTTGATGTTCAATGAAACTAACAGAAAAGAAGATAGGCCCAGATTGGTAAGGATGCACCCATAGATTATACACAAATATGATATGTACAAGTATATACAGGTATCTTTACTGAACTTCAAACGCAGGAGGTTTGTAAAATTCAGTCAGCCCTATTTTCCCATGTTGAAGATTTTGTGTGTTTTTCTTAATCCTTACACCCTCGTCTCCCGCACATTCCTCTTTCTGTCCTCACTCGCATGTTGGATCCTAGACCATTAAATAACACCACACTCTTCATTATCATGATCATTAAATATATGTAAAGTGCTACAACCAGTTATTGAGAGAGAAACTGAGAAATATTAAACTAAGGATGATGGAACAATTATGAATTTACACTCTTTCTTACACTCCGCACTCACACATGGCTGACACACGTAGGCCCATAGTTAAACCATCCACTCATTGTCCTATATCTATCTAGCCGACCGAATGTTTTTATATTGGCAGAGCAGAAGATGCTTGAAAGTCTTTTTGAAGGTGACATTGCAGAGGGCGTAGCAGGCCGGGTTGATGGTGCTGTTGATATAGCAGAGCCAGTAACCGATGGTCCACACGGTGCTGGGGATGCAGCTGGAGCAGAAGGTGTTGATGAGCACCATGACGTTGTAAGGAGTCCAGGTGGCTACAAATGCCACTAGGATGGCCATGATAGTACGGGTCACTTTCTTCTCCCGTGATGGTGCTGCTTTTTTCTTCTTGATTGGTGGCTGCTTTGTCATCTTTACAATCTTTCGGGCCACATGGTTTTGGCGCTCTGCGGCTGGGACAATCTCTACAGTGGCGTTGGATGTTGGAGTATAGAAGTCACCCTTAGGTGATTTTGTTTTGATCTTGATGCATGTCAGCTTGGATCCCCCTGCCTTGGCGCGCTGACGTGGGGGTGCCTGGGTGGCTTCAGCAGACGAGTTAGCCGCACAGGGTGCCACCTCCTCATCTTTCTGGTTGGACATGGCTGCACTGCCAGAGGTAGAGTCATTGGAGCTCTCTTTCTCCTCTCCTGGAGCGCAGTTCTCCCGGGCAGAGTCGTCCCCCTCCGCCTGCTCCCCCTCAGCGGTGCTGGAGGGCCCTTTGCCATTCTGCAGTTTCCCATCCTGCTGATGGCCCCCATCATCTGTGGTCTGACTCTGACAGTGGCCTGTGTCCTCCCCTGGAACGTTGTTATTTGTGGGTTTGGGGGCATTGTTTCTGCTTTGACCCGGTGACAAGGGCTCAGGGGTTGCTCCTGCTGTTTTGCGGTTCTCTTTTTTTACACGGCTTTTGCTGGCTCTGGAAATCTGCCAGTAAAGCTGAATCATGATAATGACAGGCAGGTAAAAGGCTGCAATGGCCGTACCAAACGTGACAGCAGCATTAGAGAAGAACTGGATGTAGCACTCCTTCTCGGGAACTGTTCGCCCACCAACAATAAACTGCCAGAAGAGAATGGCTGGAGCCCACAGGATGAAGGAGAGGACCCAAGCTGCTGCGATCATCATGCCCGCCATCTTAGTGGTCCTTTTGACAGGGTAGCTCAGGGGCTTCGTGACACAGAAGTATCTATCAAAACTTATAATGAGGAGATTCATAACAGACGCATTGCTGACCACATAGTCCAAGGCTAGCCAGAGATCACACACTACTGGTCCCAGCGGCCAGTATCCTATCACTATATAGACTGTATACAAGTTCATGGAGCACAGTCCAATGATGAGGTCTGCACATGCAAGACTGAATAAAAAATAGTTGTTGACAGTCTGTAGATTCCTGTTCACTTTGATGGAGAGCATAACCAGGATATTCCCAATAATTGTCACCAAACTAAGAGATCCGGCCACCAACACAATGAATACCACCTCCACGGTCTTGTATGGGCTCTCATTCTCCTCCACAACCTCAGTGTCATTGCCTTCAGAGGCATTCCAGTAAGTGAAGTTGAGTGCATCCATGGCATTTGGTCTTTTGATGCCACCTCCTATACAGATCCAGCCTGCAAAGAGAAAAAAAAACAGATAAGAAGCATGTTTAAACAGAATACAGTGTAGTTTATATTGAGTCCTATTGTCAGTGAAGAAACAGCCATATGATAAATATTTAGCATTCAACATGGTGGTGCAGCACACATTTCATTTTCAACACATACAAACATTTACTGTTGCAGGAATAATACCTGATAATCATGGCTATTTTAATTAATTAGCTAATTAGAGACATGGACAAAGTATGTGGCAGATATGCAAGCCTAGATAATTAATCACCCCATTGGACCTCATCATTATGCAAACAAAATAAAATGGCCTGTTACAAACACAAAACAGCACTTGGTGAAAAAAATATCATATCAAGTGCTTTGCAAGGCAGGAGATTTAACAGTCATATCTGTATCTGCTGTTCTTAAAAGAGTGGGAAATGCTATAATTATACAGTGGCTTCAAAGTTCAATGAAAACATTAAAGGAATTACTGAAAACTAAAACCAACATATATTATCTTCAAAGGTCCATTTCCAAGTTGTACTTAAAAATTCTCTTCATGGAGCTTTTATAAGTTTGTTTCATCCTCCAGTGACTCTCCTCCTACCACTTTTAACCTTAAAACCAGCTTTGATCAATACACTGCTGCATCCGGGTCTTAATCATTTTGAGACATAAACTACAACAATAGCTTTGTTTTTTAAGATAGGTCACTATTCTTCCAATACACTTAATTTGTCATTGTATTTCACTGTATTTTCACCATGGCCCAAATGTGTATTAAAAGCTCAGACACAACTACTCAACAGAAAAATAATCTTGACATCAGTTCATTAGTCAAGTACAATCCTGTCAGTTGAGGTGAGGTGGTTTATTGAGCAGTTTCACTTATTCATGCTTGCAAAGAACAAGTGCTGCTGAGTAACCAGTGAATATTGACTTATCTGCTGGTGCAGAAATCCCTAATCATTGCATTAGGCATGGAGCTAAGCTGAGCTAATCCCCATAAAATGTCTAAGTTGACCGATTCATGTTCAAAATCACTAATGGGACACTCTAGTGGCTCACTTGAGACCAGCGGAAAGTACAGTGGATTATTGGATGGTCAATGGACACTATTAAGTCTCTTCACTGCCCCTGTTCCAATGTATAAATTTCATCCACATCTGAAATTTTTGAGGATGAGTTGAGCTTTTTTTAAGATAGAAAATCCACTGCAATGAAATCATTCAAGTTACAATGAGCTAAATCTCTAAGGAGCAATATTTCCTAAATGTGTTATATTACACTATTGGCGATTGACTGGGATCTGGACGTTCTCTCTGTTTCCTCAGATCTCTCAGTCTGGTCACCAACCCCTTGAGTCTCAGGCCAAAGTTAGACAAAGCTGTGCAATCAGATTAGCTTGTTTCAGAGACATGTGGAAACAGGAGCAGAGGAGGTAGGTTTAGAATAAAATCAAACTGCTCTCACCTCATATTAACAGTGGTTAGTGCAAAAGCATGCAGTCTTGGCTGGCCAAGCAAAATTAGTACTGGAAAAACCTTGAGCAAATAAGTGAAGAATATCACTTATTAACGAATAAAATAATAATTTAGTAGTTTAAACTGCAATTGGGAAAGCTAACTAATACAACCATATTTTCCTCACAAAAAAGCATGCAATTTTCACCTGCATCGATACAATATTAGAATAAGAGCAGTACCAGGTAAACAAAGATTTTTGAGGATAACCTTGTATGAAGAAGGATTAACACTGCTGTACACCCCTGACTTCCATATACATGTTTGGCTCGGTCCATAGCTGTACTGTTGTTCTGAGATGAGAGGGGCAATTGTGCATTAACCCTTGTGCTTATTCTGAAGTGTAGCTATAGGACAGTAGATTCTGAGGAGACGGGGATAAATTAAACTTGTACTTATGTATTCTACCAGCTGACTCACTCAAGCTGAAAATTGCTTGTGCCATTTGGGAAGTAAAAGGGGCCAAAATCACTTTTTCCCCAAACTTTGCCCTTATCCGATCCCATATGTTTCCTCCACCGAACAAGATTACATGAGAATACAAATTTACAAAAACAAGCGACAAGGAAATATCCTTAAGCTGCTTAATGGGTTTCTTTTTATTCATGCCTACACAGGGCAGTGGCTTTCTTATGAGAGGAATTTATATTTTTTTATAAAAAGGATGATATAGGATATAGAGGTCGAGTGTGGCTCATTAAAACTGTAGTCATATGTGGTAGAATGGGCCTGTGTTCTGCTGCTTATTACGGACATTTTGCACAAGTAGCTCATCAAATAGCATTAATGATGTAAAACGTTTGGCAAAAATTTGACCTTAGAAACTCTACATCAAAATAATTCTTTGCTTGGTCAGGTATCTGACTATATATAGGCAAAAGAATTTTGGAAGATTTTTTTTATAATAAATCAACTCAGCTTAGCTCCTATTTATAATAAAAGTATTACATTTAAAGCTTCAATACAAGTACACATGTAAGGGTTAGTGAGTTGGTTTGATCCTAACTAAGTCCTAATTGCTCTTGTTTTAGTCCTGATGCAGTCCTGGTCTTGTCCAGGCCATGTGAATGCAGTTTTAGTCACATGCTGGGTCACTTCAGGTCTTGCGTTTGACTGCCTCTATGTGTCCAGCTCACTCTTCTTCTCTTTGAGCATTGATCTGAGGTAAAGCCCCTGGCACTTGGCCCCCTGCTTTCAATGATTACATGCATTTCTTCACTGGCCTCTCCACAGGAGCGTGAGGGTTAGACCTCCGTTTACTGCTATTTGCACCAGGGCATGAACTGAATGCAAACTGACCTGCAGCCACACAGCTCTGCCACCGGGGGTGCACATCTTTTCAGCACTCCACATTACACTTATGGGTATGAAAAAAAGATCTAGTATATTTCATAAGGTCCAATATGATCCACTTTATTTGAGAACAAATACCACATAGTGACAGCAACAATAAACGATAGTTCTATCTAACAGTTTTTACATTTTGTCATAATGTCATGTAGAAAATGGTTGAGTGAGTCTTCAGTTTATAAAACATTACACATTTCTGAGGAGGAAATGAGATCTACCCTGATGTCTATCAAAGAAACACTGGCTGTATATGAAACATGCCCATATCACAACGGACTGAAATCTCAAAAAATGAATTGGCAATTTAAATTTTCTCTGGAGTAAGTATTTATTCAGTCAATCAAATCCACAGATCAATCATCACAGTGTGTGCATACCTGTCATTCAGTGTAAAGCTACACAAAGGTCCCCTGAAAATAAACCTTGAGGGAATCCTAAACTTTGACATTCTTAGCAGGAGGATTCACTGATCACAGTTTAATGTCAAACTCCATCATGCAAGTGCATCAGAGACCTCTCATCATTGTAATAAGAAAAGGCAAAAACTGTGCTTGTGAATAGAATAAGGTAATTGATATGCATACAACCAAATAAAAAAAAACTCAGTTAAGCAGTGAAAAAGATGTCATCACAGCATGCAAACAACCAAGTACCAAGACCTCCAGAGATGCAGGTGCTCCTAAATCACTGTAATATGAGTGGAGTGAGAATAGTAAACAGGAGATTTGAACCTGCACATTTAAAAAAGATATGACTTTTCAGCTTTTATTTCAGGCAGATGAAGCCTGCTTAGGTGAGTAGCAACTGATAATATAATAACAACCAATAATGTGAAATATTGCCTTCTTTTCATAATTGCATCAGCAGGCTATCAGTTCCTCAGTGACCTTTAAATGTGTCTTTATATAAATAACTTTATTTGTGATTTCACACAAATTATCTCTACAACATGAATGTCAGTGTAAGATGTCCTCTATTGTGTGGCCCCTCCCCCCCCCTCGTCACTGTCTCTCACAGCAGACTCAGATAAGCCTATTGATATTCTTCCTATTCTTACAGTACAACCTCCTCCTCATGCGTGAAAAATGGCAATGTCACACAGGGCTTCTGCTGTTGTGTGTTCAAAACCAATATACATAACACAAAACTGTAGGCCATAAGTGTAGATTGTGTAAGATAAAATTCATGGCGTATGTTTATTTTTATAAATGCAGAAGTCTATTCAACATATTCTCAACAGACGTCAATAGACAGACACTTGACAGGAACGCTCAAGAAAATATCACACATCACATGAAATGAATTCTCAATGAAATTCATGCAACAGGCCATGGTCTGGTTGCCTGGGATTCTATAAAGAAGATCTCTCTTTCTGGTCACCACCTCCTCTGCATCTCAAGCCAAACTCAGAAAGAGCCATCCAGTTCCTATCATTTGGAACAAAGTCAAACTTCTCTCACCTCAGATGAACAGTAAGATTTTTATTTATATAGAACTTTTCACAAACATATGTCACAAAGATGCTTATTCATTCATTCTTGTAGATGCATTATTCATTAATTCCATACCCGATGTTGGTAAGCTACTACTGTAGCCACAGCTGGCCTGGGGCAGAACAACAGAAGTGTGGCTGCCAATCAGCGCCATCGGTCCCTCCGACCACTACTAACACTCACGCACACACCACTTTCATACTACAGCATTTAGTGCTTCACTCAAAGATTATAAGGATTGGTGTTTGTTTGGTGGTTAAGGCCCTATATTACGCAAAATGGATTTTTAGCTCTGGTATAATTTTGTTACCTCCTCCGCCTCTACCTGGAGTTGTGTTTTGTGTCATTCACACAAGTTTGAGTAACCCTTTATTATTATACTTTATATTGTTTACATCTCCAAAGCTCAAAATGTTCTTTTCCACTTTGCGATGTCATGAAGCAATAGTTTTCATGTTATCAAGTAGTGTTTAACTTTTGTTCAGTAGAGATTGACAATTCCTGTGCTGGAATTATCCAGATGATTCTAGTGAAGGTGTATAGAGTTTAAAAACACAGTGGAGTATTTCTTCTATTACCACGTGACATCACAAGGTGAACTTTTCCCCTTAAGTCTCTAT